AGCAAGACAAGCGTTGTGTAAATTGCAAATTCCAAAATAATAATCAGCATTATGATTTCAAAATATTTGTGTCTATGGTTTATTTTTATCTTGTTGGTTATATTATCAAGTGTTGATATAGTGATATACAAATTGAGATTTTTTTGTCTACCTATACAGTGTGTTTCACTTCAAATTCCATCAACTCTCTTTGAATTTACTTCTTCAAGATGAGCGATTGATTTTTTCCTCCAATAAAATGGTGGATGATGCTCCGCCACAAAAAATGTCAACATGCCCCTTCACCAAAAATTCAAATGTTCGTTTTCATTACTTCGAATAACTACAATGCTTTTTTATATCCAGAGGCACGGCGGTGTCTTACAACAATACTCGTATGAATAGTTACATCCAGCGAGACGGTATATACAGTGTGTCCCACTTACCATGCTCACCATGGGTATCTTTTTAACGGTGAGAGATACGAAGTCGGTTAAATGACACCAAATGTGGAGTTTGTCAAGGCCAACTATAATGTGAAGAAATATTTTGATAAAATCTATTCGTTTTTGTTTTATACGCAAAAACCAGATTTTGATCATTTTCATGTCTCCTCTGTAACTTCTTTATTTATGAAAATATTCAAATAGGAATTTCACATTCTCATGGCAGTTTTTCAAAGTGATTTCGAAAAAAATATGAATTTTATATCAACTCTTCTAGAATTTGAGATATCAGCAGCAACTTCAGTTTTTCAAATGTAGGTCATAGCTCACTATGACTCAGTTACAAATAATTTTTTTTTCTCTTTCAGATGATATGTCGCAGTGATAGTTTTGTGTTGATAACATCGGAGTTATCGTCATTTATACAAAAACAAAAAATTATTTGGATGCCGCCATCTTGAATTTATAAATTTTAACAAAAAAATCATGATCTCCGACCTCGAAAACCCCCACTTACCAATTTTGAATGGAATCGGACCAAATCTTGTCCGCCATCTTGGAGCAGCCATTTTTTTTTTTTCAACAAAAATGGAATTTTTGTTGAAATAAAAAAAATGGCTGCTCCAATATGGCGGACAAGATTTGGTCCGATTCCATTCAAAATTGGTAAGTGGGGGTTTTTGAGGTCGTAGATCATGATATTTTTGTTGAAATTTATAAATTCAAGATGGCGGCTTCCAAAAAGTTTTTTGTTTTCTTATAAATGACGATAACTCCGTTGTTATCAACACAAAACTATAACTGCGACATATCATCTGTAAGAGAAAAAAAAGTTATTTGTAACTAAGTCATAGTGGGCTATGACCTACATTTGAAAAACTGAAGTTGGTGCTGATATCTCAAATTCTAGAAGAGTTGGTATAAATTTCATATTTTTTTCGAAATCACTTTGAAAAACTGTCATGAGAATGTGAAATTCCTATTCGAATATTTTCATAAATAAAGAAGTTACGGAGGAGAGATGAAAATGATCAAAATCTGTTTTTTGCGTATAAAACAAAAACGAATAGATTTTATCAAAATATTTTTTCACATTATAGTTGGCCTTGACAAACTCCACATTTGGTGTCATTTAACCGACTTCGTATCTCTCACCGTTAAAAAGATACCCATGGTGAGCATGGTAAGTGGGACACACTGTAGAGTCTTGCACCAAGTACTCGTATGAAATACAGTTTCCGGCGGAAAGGGATCCTGATGAAAGGTTACAACATCCGAGGAAGGCAACATCAGGCGCGCAAAATACCCACACAAAAATACATGATTTTCTTGTTAGCTGAACTAAAAAATACGAAACTAAATTGTGTGGTTTGGAAAACTAAAAAACACGCTTTTATAGATAGCCGTCATTTATGATATGTTCTAGAACTACTGGGTTTTTATTCTCATATAGAAGCATTGTATCGTCTGCATATATGGTATAGTTTCCTATCAAATTCATTCTTTCAATATTTTGAATGTACAGGGTATCCCACATAACTTGGGCCACCCCCTTATCTGGTGAACTATTATATATACAGAAAAAAGTTCGGAATGAAAATTGTATTACTTCTCATGAAATTTAATTTTTAGATACTGCCATTTATACAGGATGATCCATATGTCTGTGACATATCATGCACAAATACGTTTTTTCAAATGGAACACCCTATATTTTATCATATTTTTAGATAGTCCTTCAGAAGACGAGTTCAATGATATATAATAACATGGGTCTGAGATCACCCGTTTCGGATTTATACACGATCTTCTTCAATAAATTGTCTAATTTCAAAGCCCTATAGAAACGTTGTGAATGAAGTTTTCGATTCGCAACTTTTGCGATAAATTAAAAAAGTCTGTATATTATCATGTTCTGTGGTGAAAATTTAGGAATTTTGAATTTGCCAAAAGTGATGACGTATTTTGAAAAGCAATAATTATCTCGAGATTTTCAAATGGAACACCCTATATTTTATTCCATATTTGCATAGAACTCAGAAAGACGAGTTCAATGATCTATAATAACATGGGTCTGAGATCACCCGTTTCGGACTTATACACGATCTTCGGTCAAAACTACATTTCCTCTAGTTCTCTTATTCGGTTTGAGAATACCTTTTGTTCGGATATCGTTCTCTATTCTCTGAAATATTTTTTTGTTTGGTACGACACTTTGTGGAAAACGGTCACGATATTCTCTCAAAGCCAGCACAGTATTTCTGTTTTTTAATAAATAGCACTCATAAAGATCAAATTTATCTTCTTTAGAATAAATATGCATTTTGAAAGAGTTTCTCTGCACCAATTCAACAATAAATAATCGGGTTTGACAGTTATTGATATGACATAAACAAAAATCCCATCTATGAGTGCACAGCCTACTCAGCTCACGTTGGCATGTCATTCCACTTTGAGTTTTGGTTCTCTCTTCGATAATTTACTTATGTCCAGTGTTTATTCATTGAGAATTCGATGAAAAATGTTGAACAGTATGAGAGATATACGATTTTTATGAGGATAGAGTAAATTACATTTATTGCAATGAATGCATCCGAATTGATAAGGCAGACAATCAGAAAAAATGTTCAAATACATTTTATTAATTGAATATTCCCGCATTGGTCTCGTATTGAGTCAAATGTTGGTGAAATTTAATTGTGATAACCTGTGCTCAATCATTTCCAAAAGGTTCTCCAGTGAAATAATAGTATAACATTACATAAAAATTTCGATAATATTCCTTGTTTTCAAAAGTCTTTATTACGAATTGTTTCACAGAAATTACAAATTTTTTATCTAATATGAAAATAACAGTCAGAATTTTGCTATTGAAATTTGATTATTTTTTCAAGAAGATCGTGTATGAGTCCGAAACGGGTGATCTCAGACCCATATTTTAATATATCATTGAACTCGTCATTCTGAGCTTCATCCAAAGATGGAATGAAATAGGGTGGTGTTCCATTCGAAAATTTGTAAAAAATTATCGTTTTTCAAAATACATCATCACTTTTGGCCAATGTGAAATTCATAAATTTTTACCATGGATCAAGAAAACATACAAAATTTGTTAATTTATAGCGGGAACTGCGAATCGAAAACTTCATTCACAACGTTTCTATAGGGCTTTGAAATTGGGCAATTTATTGAAGAAGATCGTGTATAAGTCCGAAACGGGTGATATCAGACACATGTTATGATATACCATTGAACTCGTCTTCCTGAGCTCTATGCAAATTTGGAATCGAATAAAGGCTGATTCATTTGAAAATCTCGAGATATTTATTGGTTTTCAAAATACGTCATCACTTTTGGCAAATTGAAAATTCCTAAATTTTCACCATAGAACAGAATAATATACAGACTTTGTTAATTTATAGCGGAAACTGCGAATCGAAAACTTAATTCGCAACGTTTCTATGGGGCTTTGAAATTAGACAATTTATTGAAGAAGATCGTGTATAAATCCGAAACGGGTGATCTCAGACCCATGTTATTATATATCATTGAACTCGTCTTCTGAAGGACTATCTAAAAATATGATAAAATATAGGGTGTTCCATTTGAAAAAGCGTATTTGTGATATGTCACAGACATATGGACCATCCTGTATAAATGAAAGTATCTAAAAAATAAATGTCATAAGAAGTAATACAACTTTTATCCGGAACTTTTTTCTGTATATATAATAGTTTACCAGATAAGGGGGTGGCCCATGTTATGTGGGATACCCTGTATAATAGATAAAGAATTTTACCCAACACTGATCCTTGAGGAACCCCTTTGTTTAAATGTAGTATCTTGGACTCACAGTTATTAATTTTAGTTCTAATAGTTCTATTTTCAAGATATGATTTCACGAGATCGTGTCCAATTCCTCTGATTCCTATTGAAGCAAGGTTTTTCGCAGAAGTATATTGTGGTCAACTGTATCGAAAGCCTTTTTGGGGAAGACCACTGAGGGAAGAAATCCGTGCAAACCTCTTTCAATCGACGAATCATGATTTACATTTTATGTACAATCAATATTATGAGTTGAAGTTGAAGGGAATCGAATCTATCTCGTTTTGAAATCAGCATATTTCATTCGATATTTCAAACAGCCAAATATGATGGTAGAGTCGTGACGTATTAGTCCCGAATTGTAGCTATCTCTCTCTGATACCTCGTCAGTCTGCAGTGTTGCAGTGTGATTGGTCAGTTCAAGGACGATAGGCGTGTTGGGAATAAGACGTCGCAACAGTCACACCAATGAATTGATGAAATTTCAAATGGCGCAGGAATTGTGTGTTTTGAAATGGATATATACTAATTTATTTGTTTCATCGTCTTAGCATGAATGAAAAAATTCAAAATTAATTCACTGGTAGTTTTTCAGTATATAGTTCACGATAATGTCGTTTTAAAAAATCAGTGGTCTTCCCCATTATTGATGAAATCTACAATTCTTTTTTTGAGAATTTTTTCTAGCATTTTGGAGAAAATATTTGATAATGCTATTATGAGGTTTTTAACAAGTAAATGTGGTCCTAGGTATCGATTACCTCAACAAAGACAATTTTCTGGACGAATTGGACAACGGAGTTGTACTTTGCCACTTGGCCCAGGTGGTTTGCGATCTCATCAGAAAAGTGGTGGCGACAACAGGTGGTAAAGGGGTGAGTAATCACATAATTAATTTAAACGAATGCCCAAGAAAATAAAATAGCAACCTGCATCGAATTGGATTTTCTCAAATATCTCGCAAATTAAGCAAAATATCACTGGGGAACAACCGAGGGAACAAAATATTTTTTTCTGTGACGGGAAAAAAGTTTGGCATTTCATCTCTGTTGGCAGGTTATAAAATGTCACTTTTCATAAATTACTTTTTTCCCGTGGGAAAAAAGTGAGTACTTTTCTCCCGGATATATATCACATTTATATACACTGTTGATGGCTTTGGTTGTGCTATAGTTCCGAAAAATGAGTCAATAATACCGTCTCCGAGAAAGAACTGCATGTCCTTTCATCTTCCATTCGACTTCGCGGTTACGTATATTACTGAACAACCATTAAGTTCGCAATTTTTCCAAGTCAAATCACAGAATTAGACTGACAGAAGTGATATCAGATATTTGATTACTTCAAATTAATGATAAAGAAGCCTACAACGCGGTGTCCCTACTGTTAAAAACTTAAAATTTCACATCGATAATTTTCAGATTTCAAAATAATGTAATATCTTCTCAATATCGATTAGTGCTTTCTTCTGTCACAGAAAAAAATAGTGTACTATACACGGGAAAAATATAAGATTTTAGCTCACGGTTTTTTGTCTCCCTCCGCTACGCGTGGGGGAGACAGCACAACCTGGAGCTAAAATCTACTACTTTTTTCCCTTGTATAATAAATAACTATTTTACGCCGGCGGAAGTAGAAGTTAGTTTCTCTGGTAACAAAAGAGGGGCAGAAGTCTCGTATTCCCTAGGGAGATAATGTGACATATTTTCTCTGCGCTTACTTTTCGGAACAGCCATCTCTAAAGCGAGTATAAGCTGCATCATACATTTCTAGATTTCTAGATAGAATTTTTATTCTTTCTTAATTATTGTATTTTCGCCAGTGTACAAAATATATATATATAGTCAGTGTGTTACTGTCAATGGAGCAAACTCTCAGCTGAATCTGGTTAAAACAGGTGTACCCCAAGGCTCGGTCCTAGGGCCACTTTCATTCATAATTCACACCAATGATTTTTTCGTCATATGTTGTCTTATCTAGGTATTGCTTTTGCTGATGATAGCTCTCTTATATGCTTCGATGAAAACAGCAGAAAACCTTGCACAAGAATGGTTTAACAGTAATTTACTAAAATTGAATAAAGATAAGACAAAACATTCAATCTTTTCAACAAACAATAAAGTATCTGTAGGCGACCACGCCAAACTTCTAGCATCAACTATTGACGATAGTTTAAGCTGGGAACCACACATTGAAAATACCTGTTCCAAGTTGAGCAAACACAATTTTCTTCTGAGAAAACTAAAAGCGTTTGTTGATGAAAATACTCTTCTTTCCGCGTACTTTGCTCTCATCCAATCATATATCAGCTATGGATTGACCCTTTAGGAAAATTCCTCCTACTCTGGAAAAGTGTTCAAGATTCAAAAGCAATCCATTAGAATAATCTGTAGTGCGGGTTACAGAGATTCCTGTCGGCCATTATTTTGCCAACTCAATATCATGCCTTTACCAACTTTGTATATTTATCAGTCTCTGCTTGAGATTCATGATAATAAAAATAAACTCCTGACTAACTCAAATTACCATGATCATAACACACGCAATGCAAATTTGATCAGGTCTCGAAGATTTAAATACAACAAGTCATTCAAAAACTCAATGATTGTTGACCTTTACAATATACTTCCTGCAACACTAAAGCATGAAAATCAATCGACATTTAAAAACTCTGTCAAAGTGATATTACAGGAAAAATGCTACTACAGTATTGCTGAGTATATGGCTGACCCATACCCAGGATGTGATTTGTAAAACTGAAACACATATATTTATGCTCAAATACTCATGTTATATGTCCCAATAATTATTGTCTCTACTATATGTGTATGGTATGTTGTAATGTACACATATTATTTTATTTTACTATCATTGTTATTTTATTTATTTCGTGAATATTGTACAGTACTTTTTGTATCTACTTGCTCCTGACTTGCTACAAATGTTTTATACATCACGTAGTTGAATAAAAATCTATCCATCTATACACCTCAGGAGAGAATGCTATTTTTCTCTCGGGTTTCGCCCTCGAGCTACAAATCGCACCTTGGAGAAAATCTTGCATTTCTGTCCCTTGATGTATAATGTACTATTGTGTCTCTTGATTTCGATGATTGTTAACCAAAGACCAATAGTACCTAATCGTTGTGCTCTTGTAAAAAAAGAAAGCCATCATATTATATGAGAGGTATACTGTATGCTCGTAATAAAACTTGATTTATGGTACTCAATAATGATTTGAAGCAAAATAGGATCTTTTATGACTCATAAAATTGTAGGATGGCCATCTATCGAAGAACGGGTTATTGTCACACAACGAAGCCAAATCTATAATGGCGGATGATTTTTATTATCCAATTCGGTTTGTGACTACCCTCTATTATGTGTATTCCGTATAGTAATTTTAGTTTTCTGAAAGATATACACGGTTATCCTAAAAGATCTTTACAAAAACTTACGAACCACCAAGTATATTCATTTGGAATTTGGTGCACAATTTCGCCTTCTTCTACCAAAGCGACTCACCTATCAGTAACGAGAAAAATCCAGGACCGGATCAACGAAAATTTATCATATATCTGGACCCCAAAAATATCATCCTGTATTTTCGGATTTCCAAAATCCGCTCACATATTTGGAAAGTGCATGAAAATCTGAATCGTATGATGTACTTTCCATTTTTCCGCATGCTATTTCACTAGGTATAATTTCTGATTTTGAATATGAGGTTTCATGCGATTGGATTGGTAAAAATGAAATGTTTTGAGTTTTCCCAATCGAATAACAAAAACTATCACGAATCCCCCAGTATATTCTTTTGGAATTTGGTACACAAGTCCTCCTTCTTCTACCCCAGCGACTCACCTATCAGTCAGGAATCAGGATGGAAATCCAGGTCCAGATTAACGAAAAATTATGATCTTCTGGCCCCAAATAGAACACCCATTATTTTCGAATTTCCAAAATCCGATTTCATATTTGGAAAGTTCACAAAGAGATGATTCGAATAATTAATTTCTGATTCTGAAATTCGAAATCAGAAATTCAGTAGTGAAATAGCATTCGTATGAAAATAAAAAGTAGACAATCCGATTCAGCTTTTTGTGCAACTCTCAAATATGTAAGCATATTATGGAAATTCGAGAATACAGGGTGTTCTTTTTGGGGCCCAGAAATATAATCAATTTTCGTTGATTCGGACCTGGATTTTTCTCGTGAATGATAGGTGAAGGGCTTGGGTAGATCAAGGAGAACTCGTGTACCAAATTTAAAAAAAATATACTTTGTGGTTCGTGATAATATTATTCGATTGGGAAAACTCAAAACATATTATTTTTACCTATCCAAATGCATAAAACCTCGAATTCAAATTCCGAAATTCCTTTGTGAAATCGCATGAGGGAAAATGAAAAGTACACCATTCGGTTCAACTTTTTGTGCACTTTCCAAATATGTAAGCGATTTTTGAGAATTCGAAAATACAGGGTGTTCTTTTTGGGGTCCAGAAATATGATTAATTTCCGTTAATCCGGACCTGGATTTTTTTCGTGGATGATAGGTGAGGCGCTTGTAGCCCAGTCGGCAGGTCGTGAAAAAGGGGTGTCACGATGAAAAATTCAGAAGTTGATGAAATTCAAGTATGTTATTTGTACATGTTAAGTGATGTCAAATCCAAGTTTTCGACCTCGAGGAGGTTGTGGAAAATTTTTGGCGGTCAAAAAACCTCGAAATTTTCGGACTTGTTTCAGTTTTTCACCTATAACTCGACAACGGTCAATCCTACGGGAAAAAACATGGTATACTAAATTAAAGAAGACAAAATTCCCCGTTAACTCACGAAAAAAAAACTGAAATCGAAGGAGTAGTAAAGTTTTCACGAGCGATCGAAATATGGTGATTATTTCGAATTTTGGTAAAACCTGCCATAACCCCATTTTCAAAGTGCTGCATCTTTTTTATTATTCATCTCAGAAAAAAAATTATTCTTCTTAAAAAGTTCTGTATGTCCTAAAATCTGAAATACAATCATCCGATATCATTTTTTTTCAGTCTTATACACGGTGAGCCAAATATAAAGGTACTTTACTCTTGGGTACAACTCACATTTTTTGACACACCGCGTATATGACTGAATAATTTTTATATCTGATGATTGTATTTCAGATTATAGAATATGCAGAAATTTTTATGAAGATTAACTTTTTAGTGAAACATACTGTATTTAGGTAGAAATAAATCTTGAGAATTTATTATCCTTACACAAGCTGTTACTAATTCTGTTATATGGATATGGAAACCGTCAGAGATAAAACAAAGTTCAAAGGGAGGCCGCTGAGCGGTCTCGTCGAGCTGTTCTGCAACAGTCTACAAAATATACTTTCACTGATTCCACCATTGTCACTATGGCTCAAGAGAAATTCTTGTCCAACGATTTCAATAAGAAGAGGTTGATTGCCATGGTAATGACGGAGATGGAAGCCAACGGAATCGAGGTTCGCCAAGCTTTAGAAGACGCAGACGTCATGATCGTGACCACGGCCATTTTGAAAGCTCCGGATTATGATGCTGTTGTAATTACAGCCGAAGATATCGACGTCCTCGTTCTACTTACAGCCTTAGGGTCTTCGGCTAAGAACATCTGGTTCCAGAAAAGTGGAAAAGGGAACGTCCCCAGCGCCATGTACTCCGCTACATCGTGTAAATTCCATTCCGAAGAAATTCTCTTTCTCCATGCCATAAGTGGATGCGACACTACTTCCGCACCCTTTGGTTTGGGAAAGAAGAAGGTTTGCAGCACGTACGCGAAGAATCCCTTCCTTACGCCCAACGTTTTGATTTTCACCAAACCAGATGCCACTGCATCAGAAATTTGTGAAGCGGGCGAAAAATTTCTGGTGACAATGTATGGAGGAGACCCGAGCGAGAAAACCTTGATGGACTGCGATACAAAATATTCACCAAGTCGGTGTCAAAAGCCAAATTTCAACTTGCCAGGCTTCCACCTACTAGTGATGCTGGTAGGTATAATTCCTTCCGTACATATCAGCAGGTACAAACTTGGTTAGGAAACAACAAGATCCCTGCAGATTGGGGGTGGTCCCTAACCAACAAGGAGTGGTACCTATCACCACTACGAAGAATGCAGCCCCTGAGTCTCTCCTGAAGATTCTTGCCTGCAAGTGTGCCAGAGGCTGCAGCACCGCGGCCTGTAGTTGCAAGCACTGCTCCGGCCACGCCTGCGAGAACTCGCGCGTGCCAGAACTCAATGAGGACGACGAAGAGGAGGACGACGACCTCCTGGAAGATCTCATCGCCCAAAAGGAGCACGAACTTGAGGACGACGACGTCGAACCTCAGCCAAAAGGGTCTCGACTCAATCAATGTATGTATCTCCATTCATTATTATTCATTAGCGTTCTTATTTTTTACATGAAATATTTCATTGTTGCCTTTTTTCTCGCAGAACAGAACCTTCGAAGACTCGATATGAAGACTGATGCAGATACATTATGTATTATATAGTGTGTAGATATGTATATGTTTTTATGCTATACCTACTAATGAATTCTTCGTAAATATATTTTTTCACATAATTACATTTATTATCTATTGGGTATGACATTGTTCTCCGTCAACCATTATTATTTTCCTAGGTATTAATAAAATTGAGACGGAATCACAAGGTGGTCATGGGTCATTGGGATCATTTACCCCAAGTAAAAAGCATAGAATCAATAGGTAGCTATTTTCGAGAAACGCTAATTTTTTAAAAACAGTCCCAAAAATTTCAGAAATTGAGCTGATTTCAAAATGTTAGCGCATTTTGAACTCTCTGATTGATACTCTACAAACTCTAAGGAGAGAGGTTGAAAAAAAAAGTAATTTTGTAAAGATACGGCACTTTGAAAATGGGGTGACGACAGTTTTTACCAAAATTGGAAATAATCACCATACTTTGATCGCTCGTGAAAACTTTATTACAGCTCCGATTCCAGTTTTTATCTCGTGAGTCGACAGGAAATTTTGTCTTCTTTAATTTAGTATACTGTGTTTTTTCCCGTAGGATTGACCGTTGTCGAGTTATAGGTGAAAAACTTGAACAAGTCCGAATATTTCGACGTTTTTTGGCCGCCAAAAATTTTCCACAACCTCCTCGAGGTCGAAAACTTGGATTTGGCATCACTAAACATGTACAAACAACATACTAAAATTTCATTAACTTCTGAATTTTTCATCGCTAAAACTACCTGCCGACTGGACGGGTAGAATAAGGAGAACTCGGAACTCGTGTACCAAAGTCCAAAAGAATATAATGGGTGGTTCGTGATGATTGTTGTTATTCGATTCGGAAAACTCAAAACATATTGTTTTTACCTATATCCAAATGCATAAACCTCGAATTCAAAATCAGAAATTCCTTAGTGGAATTGCATGGAGGAAAATGACAAGTATACCATTCGGTTCAACTTTTTGTGCACTATGTGTAAGCGGATTTTGAGAATTCGAAAATACAGGGTGTTCTTTTTGGTGTCCAGAAATATTATCAACTTTTGTTAATCCGGACCTGGATTTTTTTCGTGACTGATAGGTGAGTCGCTTCGGCAGAAGAAGAAGGAATTGTGTACCAAATTGCAAAAGAATATACTAAGTGTTTCGTAAGTTATGTCCTCACAAAGAATTGGGCAAAATTGATAAAACATGCACCCCATATCTCGGATATAAAACTTGTGAGACCCTACAAATATGGTATATTCAGAACCACCTTGATGAGCTCTACCCACCGTTGAAAATTTTCCGTTTCCCAATGGGACACCCTGTATATAATAATATATTTATTCGGTGTTGGGAGATACTTCAGTGGATGTCTGTTGATGTTTATTCAAAATGACTAATGAATTTCCTGTATATTCTTGTATCATTGAACTCATGTTAAAATGAATAAACATTATTATTATTATATGTTATTATTATTGCCCATCCTCAATGAATATATATAGCCAAGACATTATGAAACAAAAAAATGTTGAAATTTTTAATTTGTGTATGTTTAGTGAAATTTGAAATCAACTAATACTAAATGATAATATTCTTTGTTATTTCAGCCAGCTTTGAGTGTGAGAGGAAAATGCTTCGAAAAAGCGTCCAGAAGAAGTTTCTTCTCTCGAGACAACATGGAAAATTTCATCAAATTCTGTCGATCACTCGGTGTGCACGAAAACCTGCTCTTCGAAAGTGACGATCTAGGTAAAGTTCATACTAGGTATTCGTGAAAATCATTTTCTCACCACCATCAAAATCAATGAGTCGAAGGTAGAGAAATTCTTTTTCAAATTTTGACATGTGATTTGATACTTTGCAAAACTAACGGAAGTTTTGAAACGTCTTACCTTACGTTAAGTGAAATGTTCCATAACTGGCGATGAAATGTTCATTTGAACACCAGTAACGAAATAAAATTACGGATAGAGGAAGAGAATAGTGAATTTCGTGCTACCTCCTGATGTACATCTGAACTTGAATCAGACATTTTCCACAAGTTATCAAACAAATCTATTTCTTCGCTGAGGAGTTTTCTTGAAACTGATTCACTTCTTACACAACAAATAGATGTATCAATAACTAACAGAGAGAGATGAAAAAGGTGAACAAATAAAATCTGTTGAGAAAAAATTCAGAGTTGATGGTGTGCCACAAGGCTCTATACTTGGGCCACTATTGTTTGATATATCAATAACTTGCCTCATAGTTATTCAAGAAATTGTTCATTTTGCAGATGACACTTCAATAATATTCAGTGACACAACTGGAAATGATATTGTTGTTCTAAAATTGTTCTTATCCATCATTCGGTTGCCCCCTTACGAGCAACCCTCAAAAGTCTTCAAGAGACTTGTGCGAGCAATGAATGACGGGGGTCAGTCTTACTTTTAACGTGTGATCCCAAACAATCGAACCCTTCACCGGCAATCCCTACATAATCTCAATATTTCAATTCAATATTCTTGTTTCAACTCGTTATCACACAGGTAGGTTTTTGAGATCTACCATTCAAGTGGTATCGGATGGCATTATTCTTATCTCGTTATCAAATCTCGAAATCGAGTGTGTACTACCGCACAGGAAAGTGCAATTTTTCAATCTTTTTGCTCAGGATAGTGATTGGGACAGGTGGCGTTAGATAAACTAGAATGGTTTCACATGCCTTTGGTATATATATTATTTCGTTATCAGATGACGGTCGAAATTTGCAGCCGGCTCTTGAACTAATATTATCATAATGTCTACTAAATGTTATAAATAATCGGTGGAAGTCATGTAGAACTGCTCATTATTTTTTGTTAAAATTAGAAAAAATATTGTACCTAACCGGTTACGTAACTATCGTAGTCCTGCACAACCAACCTCGCAACGTCATCCTCTGCCTACTCGAAGTAGCCAGGATCGCTTCAAAGTACGGCCTCGAGCCGCCCGGCATCGTGCAGCTCGAGAAGCAGATCCTCGACGAGGAGCGCGACGCGACGGCCGGCTCGCGACTGAGCTCGCTGCTGTCGTGGCACTTCGACCGATCACCTCCCACCACCTACGCGCCGCGGATGCGGCAGAGCGCGTCGGCCAATGGCATCTCTGCGGCGCTGGACGGGTGGGGCGGGGCGCCGGCAGCGGTGGGGGACGGAGACAGGGGATTGGCGGCGGGCTCGGTGGGCGGGGCCAGCGACGGCGTGCCCAGCGATCACACGGAGGACGAGGAGTGGTCGAGAGGTGAGTAGTGGGGGATGATTTGTTTTCCATGCGCGTTTATTAGCTTATATTAGATATTGTTTGTTTGTATCGGAATCCTCGAACGTGATTTTGACCCACTTCAAAATGTCAGATTGATTTGAAATTTGGCGGGTGTACACAATTCAAAAGAAAATTAAATGATGAAAGAGTTTTTTAATTATAATCCAATTCTATTCAAAATTGATTCTATCATCAAAATTGGAAATTCCAAGATAGCGGACTAATTCTGTGAGTATGATTCGATTCTATTCAAAATTGGTATCTAGGGGTTTCTGGGGGCGGAGATCATGATTATTTCGTCAAAATGGGAAAATTCAAGAAGGTGGATCTAATATGGCAAACGAGTTTTGTAATTATGATCCGATTCTATTCTAAATTGGTATTTCGGATTTTCAAGGTCGGAGATTATGATTCTCTCGTCAAAAGCAGGAAATTCAAGATGGCAGATCCAATATGGTGGACGAGTTTCCTGATCATGATCAGATTCTATTCAAAATTGGCATCCAATATGGTAGACAAGTTTTGTAATTATGATCCGATTCTATTCAAAATTGGTATCTGGTGGTTTTCGGAGTCGGTGATAATGATTCTTTTGTCAAAATTAAAAATTCAAGATGGCAGATCCAATATGATGGACGAGTTTTGTGATTTTATGAGCCGATTCAATTCGAAATTGATTTATGGGTGTTTTCGGGTCGAGAAATTATGATAATTTTGTCAAAATTGGAAAATTCAGAATGGCGGATTCAATATGATGGACGAGTTTTGTAATTATTGTTAGATAAGATAGAATTTATTCATCAAAGAAACATATAAAGAAAATATTGCAGGAAACTTGTAAAGATGTCAAACAGAAAGTTGATGAAAATAATATTATAATTACAGTATAATAAATGTTATCAATCAATGAATAGATATACTGAATAGATAATCATATTGCTTTCAAAATTTGGTCACTCCTATTAAGACGATGATATGATGGACATTATTTCAAAAATGAAGTCATTTTGTATTGGTTTTTCCATCTTCTATAGATGATTTGAACTTTATTATAATAGATTTATTTTCGATATTGTCAGGTAACGCATTATATTCAATCATATATATCACATTATGATTCGATTCCATAAAAAAATTATATCTGGGTGTTTTCGAGGTCGGAGATTATGATGAATTCGTGAAAAAAAGCAAATACAAGATCTCGGATCCAATATGGTGGACGAGTTTTGTAATCATACTTTGATTATCATCAAAATTCTGGCCAGCAAATTTTGGGTCACAATAAGGCCGAACAAAATTGTTTGGATGTATTTATCAGCATACTCTCACTATTTTATTTTCCACTTCTTTTTATATAGAAGCGTGTTTCTTTAGTTTTTTAAACAACTATTTATCATCATACATTTCAAATTATAATGATTGCTTTTTAGGTAGTGGGGAGGATCCTTCCGATCTCGACATGACTCCCCCCTCGAGACCGTCTTCGGGAGAGGGTGGGGGAGACACCCCCAGTCCTGTTACCGAGCTCGACCGCAAGGTGCAGCTAGCTGCCAGACTGATGCAGAAGAACTGCAGCTGCGCCAATGGCAGATGCGACAAGCTGAAGATCAGGAAAGTGGGAGAGGGGAAGTACAATATCGCCGGCAAAAATGTGTTCATTAGGGTGAGTTTTTGCGTAAAACGGGGTTACTTTGCATCTCCAGGTAACTTTGCCATGACTTCGTGAAAAATCTAAAAACATTTATCATTTCTCAGCTGTTAAATGCTAAATAGGCGTGACTTTGCCTAACGGTTCTTCAGGATCTTCTGTTAGTCTGGTATTAATAAATTTCAGATAGGTAGATCAAAAACCTCCTGTCTATTTGGCGGGAGTTTTTGTATACGTGCGAGAGTTGGTTCCGTACCTAAGTATTTTCTGGAATGCTTCATCTCAATATGTTCGTAGTAGTGACCTCAACATGCCTATTGTCGATAATCTCACGGGTTTTCAAAACAATACATCGATAACTTGACGAATATTTGGGGGTTGTCAAAGTTCCACGATATATTTTTTGCAATTTCGGGGCAACTTTGCCATACTGCAGGTCCGTAACATGTCTAGGAAGTACAAAAAGTTCTAAGGAGTCGATACTATTTGAATTACACTCCTAAAACATTAGAACAGACTGTTGATGCAATGAAAAAAAGCATTTCGATGTAAGATATTCAATAATATATCAAGGATACAACACAAAACCTTAGATAAAAGGTTCATCAACGTCATCCTGGTAAATATAGTGAACCAACGGAGCTGAGGCAGCTCATTTGAGAAACAAACTTAATCCGATTACAGGAATTTTATTCAAAATACGAAATTTCATTTATACTAGATACTTGAAGAGTATTTATTCCTCTCTTATTTACTCAATATTTCAATACCTAATATCTATATGGGGGAGTACCAATATTTCTTTCGAGTCCACTAATGAAATTACAAAATAAAACATTGAAGTGTATTTTCAATTTAAATTTTCTCGAAACAACCATGAATTTATACAATCCTACAGATCTATTAGATCTCTCAAACTTAAAATCTGTTGTTTTATTCAATTTGTCCTATATAAATTGAAAATTTCGAATTTAAATTTCAATGAAATTAATTCATTACATAATCATGGAACAAGACAATCAAATTTACTAATAGCAAATTCGTACAAGTCAAATATCGGCAACCTATCAATTTTTCTCACAGGAATCGTTCTATGTACATCTCATTACCAAGTCAATTGAGGAATATACAGGAAGCAACTAGATTCAAAATTAATTTGAAAAAATATCTGCTTCAGAGACTTTGATAATTCCATTTCTTACTTGAATCCCTACAAAAGACAAGGTTGATATTGCATGATTATTTGCATTTTTTTTTACTTGTTATATCTCATCATTATTTCATAATTGTATGTATAACATTGTGTATATTGTGTATGTATCCCTAATATAAACAACTATGTTTCTTGGGGCGATAAAGACAATCAATCAATCAATCAAACATAGGTCAACATTTCAGTTTCACAGAACTATGACGAAATATATTGCTAGTGGTGAAAAAAATTTAATATACACCTTGGTAGTAAGAAACGGGACCTTATACCCCTCGGCTGAAGCCTCGGGATATAATCTTGGTCCCTGGGTAATAATGATATTCTTTACTACCTTGGTGTATAAATAATTATTCATTATACAAGGGAAAAAGTAGTAGATTTTAGCTCCAGGTTGTGTTGTTTCCCGACGCGTAGCGGAGGGAGATTAAAAACCGTGAGCTAAAATCTAATATTTTTCCGTGTATAATACACTATTTTTTTCTGTGACAGAAGAAAGAACGAATGAATATTGAGAAGATATTACACTATTTTGAAATCTGAAAATTATCGACGTGAAATTTTAAGTTTTTAACAGTAGGGACACCTGCGTTGTAGGCATCTTTATCATTCTTTTGAAGTAATCAAATATCTGATGTCACTTCTGTCAATCTAATTCTGTGATTTGATTTCAAAATATTGCGAATTTAGTGGTTGTTCAGTAATATACGTAACCGCGAAGTCGAATGGAAGATAAAAGGACTTGCAGTTCTTTCTCGGAGACGGTATTATTGACTCATTTTTCGGAACTATAGCACAACAAAAGCCGTCAACAGTGTATATATATATTTATGATATTTATCCGGGAAAAGAGTACTCACTTTTTTGCCACGGGAAAAAGTAATTTATGAAAAGTGACATTTAATAACCTGCCAACAGAGATGAAATGCCAAATTTATTGCCCGTCACAGAAAAATAGTTATTTATATTAAAAAGTTTGGCATTTCATCTCTGTTGGCAGGTTATAAAATGTCACTTTTCATAAATTACTTTTTTCCAGTAGGAAAAAAGTGAGCACTTTTTTCCCGGATATATCACATATATTTACACTGTTGATGGCTTTTGTTGTGCTATAGTTCCGAAAAATGAGTCAATAATACCGTCTCCGAGAAAGTACTGCAAGTCCGTTTATCTTCCATTCGACTTCGCGGTTACGTATATCACTAAACAAACACTAAATTCGCAGATTTTTGAAATCAAATCACAGAATTAGACTGACAGCAGTGACATCAGATATTTGATTACTTCAAAAGATTGATAAAGATGCCAACAACGCAGGTGTCCCTACTGTTAAAAACTATAAAAATACGTCGATAATTTTCAGATTTCAAAAGAATGTATTATCTTCCCAATATTGATTCCTCTTTTCTTCTGTCACTAAAAAAAATAGTGTATTATACACGGAAAAAATATCAGATCTTAGCTCACGGTTTTTTGTCTCCCTCCGCTACGCGTCGGGAGACAACACAACCTGGAGCTAAGTATCTACTACTTTTTTCCCTTGTATAATAAATAACTTTTTCTTTTCTTGTAGTTATTGAAGGGTCGTCACATGATGGTGAGAGTGGGGGGTGGCTGGGACACTCTGGACCACTTCCTGTTGCGTCACGACCCCTGTCAGGTGAAAGTCGTGTCCAGGCAGAGCCCCCAAAGGCCGAACAGCGCTGCCAACTATTTGCACATCAGGGCGAAGTACAGAAGTCCACCGCCGACACGTTGAAAGCGTTGGGATGGGAGAATCTGGAAAAAATGATGGGGTGTTCGCAAAAATTCGACATTTCGTAATGGATGGAAACCAAACATTTTTCAATATTGATATACAGGGTGGGACACGGTCGATGGAGCTTAGACGTTTACGGAGGACGAGACATCCCAGACAGCATCAGCTCCATGAATCTCCCTATCATATTTCTTTCGGAATATTGGAATATCCTACGAATAATCCGGAATATTCTAGAATATCTGTGAAAAATTCCAAATATGCAAAAGGGAATTCCTCAGATAGTCATTGAATATGCCAAAAAGAATATTATACGTTGAATGGTCCTGGAATATTCCAATGAACATATTTTGAAATGAAAAAAGTGACGCAAGATGAGATATTCCTTGTATATTACTTTAAAATATATTGCTAGTATATTCACATTGGAATATTCCCAGGATGTTCCAGAGGCATGTATATATTCTAGGCATATTCGGTGGATATTCGGAGTATACTCCTCCTTTTTAGCATATTTAGAGAATATTCTAGGAATATCCAGTGCTGTCTGGGATAGACCATTCTGAAAATTAGGTTACTCAAGTACCTAGTTACTCTTGGTCTGTCGATCTGAAATATTTTCAGCTATGCAGCTTTGCCGCTCATATCAGAAAGTAGTTGCAACTTTGATATTCTGAATGGGAAAACCTGTATTTCATTGCATTTTTATATTCTCTAAGAAGAGCTGGTTTCATTCATGCATTAATGCATCACACTTGGGGTCTAAGGGGAATGATTACAGATATATAGGGTGATCAAAATGGTCACTCTTGGAACATACAATTATGAACATAAATATTTTCCTCGTATATCGATCCATCGATCCCTGAAATATTTCCATTGCTGTTCAGATACCCTATATATACTGATAATATTCCTAGATTATCTTGAGGATGTTGTCGAGAAGATTATGAGAACGTTCTCAGAATATTCCGATGGTACTGAGAATATTCTGAGGATATTCTGAGAATGTTCTGAAAAATATTATGATAACGTTCTTGGAACGTGAATTTTCGTCCTATTTGCATTCTGAGAATATTTGGAATGTTCCACAGGAATATTCTAAGAACGTTCTCAGAATCACTTTGTACTGTCTGGGGTGACCCACCCTGTATATCGCGTTCACGAAATCGAATATGAATAAACACTAACCGGCAAAAAGAAAAACGGCCACCTAAAAATTTACACAAATTGATCTCCATGTGGCTTTTTTAATTCTTGCCGATTTTGTCGACTAAATCGTAGATTCATATTTCGGAATGCTAGCCTGAATTTTAATTGTAGTTCTCGATAAAACATGATGGCTTGATCATTATACAGGAAAAAACAAAAGGAATTCTTCAGCTTCGTTATGTTTTGGATTGGAGTGTCAATATTTTCTTCATTTAAGAGAAGATGCAAGGTTTTTGATGGTATGTACTTTTTTGATTTTTATAAACTAGCTGTCCGGCACGGCTTCGCACGATTGGTGTACCCATTTTAAAAAAAATGACATTTGTTGCAGTCGTTCTGAGCTATATGCACGTATCTACAATACATTTTTTTGTGCTTACCTATTGCTACTATAATATACTTACACCTATTTTTTATTCTCTCAGTATCTTTTGTATTTTTTGTGTTGTTTTTACGTATTGAATATTCCAGCCCAATCGGTCAAGCCGTTTAGTAGTTTACGTATCGACAGCAGCGCCACCTACCACGTCCAATTGCATTTTAAAATTATCCAGGAAACCGAAGAAATACTCATAAAAAATTTCAACTCAATCGGTTCAGCCGTTTAGAAGTTATGTGAAGAATATAAGTAGGGAAGGATAAAATTCTTACTACTTGTCCTATTACACGTTTCCTAATAGGAATGAAGCATTTTCTCGCGGTAAAAAGTAGCCTATGTTCATCAGGGATAATGTCAGCTTCTCACGGTAAAAGTCGGTAACAATCGGTCCAGTAGTTTCGGAGCCTATTCAATACAAACAAACACATCTTTCCTCTATAATATTAGTATAGATAATTTGGAACCTACATGCACATGCACGACAACTTCAAAAAACGTCTAAAAATTAATATCGCTTATTTCCACCCAAGGAGATTTCCACCTTGTGTTTTTAGCATTCACCGGCAAAAACCTAAAGGAGTCTTAAGGAATTGCTTCAAATTCATCTTGAGAGGAAGGCAAGGCACAATAATTGTAGGCGAAGACGAATACGAAAATACGCTTCTGAAGATGCTCTATAGGTTCTGAATCATTGTTAAAATTGAAATTAAAAAATCCTATATTTTCTTGAAACGTTTGTAGGTATCTTCTCTCGCAAAGAAGATACAGAGACGTGAGAAACAAATATCATCATGTTGAGAAGGGAACACACTGCAAAATCCAAAACCTAATGAAGCAAAGTTTAACCGCTGGATTTTTCCACAGAGGGCATTAGGAAATTAGGGGTGAAATATCAACTTGCTTTGCCCTGTATAATGATCGAGACATCAGCTTTTCTCGGGAACGAAAATTCATGGTAACATTCCGAATCATGAATAATATATACTATTTGGTCGAAATTTCATCAAAATCGGAAAAAAATTAAGAATCAAACATGTTACAGCAGAGTGATCAATTTGGTACAATTTTTCTCTGGCCGGTTTTTTTTTGGTTGTGTACAGTGTGTCCAGTTTTCGATGCTTTTGCGTGATATCTCAGTTATCTTTAGAGATAGAATCTAGCGATTTTCGCGGTCCTATGCCACTTTTTCGTGAAACTAAAGATTGCCTGATCAGATTTTGCATAACTGTTTCCGTTTATGAGATATACAGGGCGATTTTGAGAATTTATACTTTTTGGACTCCCTCTATATCTACGAAGTTTCTCAGCGAAAATGTCAAAATAAAATCTTACCCCATGAAGAATTTTACTCAGACTCCAGGAATTTGATGAGATAATAAAATACAGTAGGTTGTTCCATTTGAAAAATTATAACTTTGAGTCATATCTCCAAAACCATACCCCGAAAAAAACAATGAAGTGCGACGAAAACAGTTATGTAAAATCTGATTAGGCCATCTTGAGTTTCGCAAAAAGTGGCACAGGACCGCGAAAACCGCAACGTTTTATCTCCAAAGATAACTGAGATATCATGCAAATGCGTCAAAAGATGAACACACTGTTTACTGTATTTTGGTTTCTGTATTCTGTGCCTGTAAAATCTAACTTAACTTCATATCACTATCACATCAACATCACAATTTGATATGCAATAATTCACACAAGAAATATATTGTGATTCATAATTTTTGCTGTTCAATTTTGATTTTCCAATATAGTTCGGTTTTCATGTGAATCGGTTTAGAATTCACATAATGTTTCGATATTGAATGGCATTTTTGTCATTGGTAGGTATAGTCGTTACAAAGTCACTTAAGATAGCTTGATCAAAAGATATCTGTTGAGTGGCCTTGGCGCTTTGTTGAATTTGTCTCAAGTGACATTGAAAAGATTATACTTAACTATGGTATATTTCAATAATAACGAGGCATGTCCATATCATTTTTGCACATAACTACCTAAATAATACTTTATATTATGAATCTCATGAAATTTTCATATCGTCACATACGAAGTTCAAACTAGAATTAATCGATATAGTGTTTCATAGGATATAAGATAGAATTGTGCAGTAGCTAGGAAGAGATAAGATATATAGTTGAAATAGGTGTACTCATAAGTATACCGCGCTAGGCAAACATATTTTGTATATATTTTCACGATATTAAAGCAAAAAGCATATAGAGAACTGAATTTAAGATGCTATCCTAACCAATATTCCCCAAGAAACAGGAACACCGATATGGACAATCCATGCATGCATAGACATTCATATAGTTATTTTGGATCACATGAAAAGGAATCGAAAATGTTCATAGAACATCATGCATAAGGGAGAAATTTCTTGTTCTACTAGTCTAATAAGGAAAATACAATCAACAGTTTTACCAACCCTGTGAGCATCGCCTCTACAGAGACTGCATTAATCATTCCAAAATTACGTCATTTGACAGGTTGCTGAGGGGCAAACATTGTATTTTGTCAAGATCTGTCATAGAAAACCAGAATTAGTGAGATCGTTTTTCTTGGAATCCGAGTTGGAACCAGAAAGAATTTCATAATTTTGTTTGGTGAAACTGTTATTATATTGTGGATGTGGCAGAGGGATGGCCTGGGCAATGCTCATCAAAGGTAACCTAACAGATAGTTTGTGTGCCCCTCAAGAAACCATGTCAAAATCACGTGTTCTAGAATGATCAATTCTCACCAGAAAACGCCATCTAGTGGCCGAATTACGAAAGTTTGGTGATTACATGACGAAAATTTCATGATAAATTATCTGTAGTGGAACTAGAGAGTGCTTTTGATTGGAGAATAAAAATATCCCATTAGGGCTACATTAAATACGCAACACCCAGTCGTAGCAACCGAACACATATAGTATCAATTTCACACATAAAGGTAATTAACGACGATTCTTGAAAGATTTCAGAAGACGGATTAATAAGTCTTAATCAATGAAATCGTATCTAATTCTGAAGATACATGACGTGTGTTTTTCTAGTGACGTCACGACGAAGAACCGCATCTATCAGTGCGGACTTTCTTCGATGGAATGAAAAACACGCCCAACATCTTCGACATTCTGTGCTCTTTGAAATCGAAAGTTACCTCAGTTTTGCTAAACGTCCGGGTAACGGGTTCATAACCAGGGCCAAAACGGTGTAGGTCATTCGAAAAGTATCAGTTCGGAGCAGCTCAGTAGAACATTCAAGTTCTATGATAGTGCTATGTCAAAGTCACATGTCAATGTGTCATCTGAGTGTCATTGTTCAACCGCGATTTTCAAAACTTCACAACTGTCAAAATCTGAGAAAAAAAATAAACAAATCATTTTATCAATTATCACATGAAAAAATGATTATGGGCA